ACTGATGTTAAATGTACAGCAGATGGTCCTGCAAATGTTTGGTAGGGTGCTTAACTTTCAGAGGTCCACTTTGGTTTTGACAAAATGGGGTTGATTTAGTAAAGCTGGAGAGTGCAACATGTGGTGCAGCTCTTCATAGAAACCAATCAGCTTCCAGTTTTTTTTTTTTATTCATATATATATTCATATATTCATGCAAAAGTTTTTTGATATACTTTATTGTACAAAATTATTATTAAAAAATAAATACGTTACAGCTTAAAATCATACTAATGGCTCTGATAACTGTTCCAAAAATATATAATCCCTTAGGGTTACAGCAATACAATGTTCCCAAAAAGCTCCAAAGCGTTTTGTTCATTTCAATTTAAGATCTTCAGGGGATATGAAAACCAAAGGGATCATTAAATGAATGTATTTAAAGTTAATAGGAAATCATATGTAAAGTCATCAATAATAATACAGTCTCCGTTTTTCATGGCGTTTAAAGTAGGATTGCATGATCCAACATTCAATGGTGTGAGCAAATCGGGAGGACAAGAGTGGTCACATGTGCATCTCACGATATTGGCGCCAGAGAGGGAAAAACAGACCACTCTCCCATATCCTTCTATAAAATCATCGTATGAGAAAACATAGATGTTTTCAACAAAGAATACTGGTGTGCCTCAACTTGAGGCAACCTGAACTGATGTATAAGCCAGGCTGCTTCAGTGACGCAATAAGTGGATAAATATCAGTTGAGAGTCTCTCCACCATCATTGTACGTACCAAGCTGGAATGCATCGGGGAGAAAACAGAAACCAGCCCAATGGGGAAGAAAAACAATCCTGATTTAAGTATTAAGTAAAAAAGATTAGGTAAAATACACACACACCACACAAAAACACGAGGCAACAAACTGACAGAACCAAAACAGAAACCAAAACAAAATTAACTTTTTTCAGTTTTGTTATGTTGCAATCTGATACTACAGTTGTTTAAATTCATTTTTCCTCAATCTACACTCCGCGCTCTAGAATGACAATACAGTGCCTTGAAAAAGTATTCATACCCCTTGAAATTTTCCACATTTTGTCATGTTACAACCAAAAATGTAATTGTATTTTATTGGGATTTTATGTGATAGAACACCACTGTGAAGTGGAAGGAAAATGATAAATGGTTTTCAAAATTTTTTACAAATATCTGAAAAGTGTGGCGTGCATTTGTATTCAGCCTCCTTTACTCTGATACCCCTAACTAAAATTTAATGGAACCAATTGCCTTCAGTTCTCACCTAATTAGTAAATCGAGTCCACCTGGGTGTAATTTAATCACAGTATAAATATAGCAGTTCTGTGAAGCCCACAGAGGTTTGTTAGAGAACATTAGTAAACCAACAGCATCATGAAGACCAAGGAACACACCAAACAGGTCAGGGATAATGTTGTGGAGAACTTTAAAGCAGACTTAGGTTATAAAAAAAAAAAATATCCCAAGCTTTAAACATCTCACAGAGCACTGTTCACTCCATCATCCGAAAATGAAAAGAGTATGGCAAAACTGCAAACCTAAGAAATGTCCGTCTACCTAAACTGACAGGCCGGGCAAGGAGAGCATTAATCAGAGAAGCAGCCAAGAGGCCCATGGTACTCTGTAGGAGCTGCAGAGATCCACAGCTCAGGTGAGAGAATCTGTCCACAGGACAACTATTAGTCGTGCACTTCACAAATCTGGCTTTTATGGAAGAGTGGCAGGAAGAAAGCCATTGATGAAAGAAAGTCCTGTTTGCAGTTTGTGAGAAGCCATGTGGGGGACACAGCAAACATGGGAGAAGGTGCTCTGGTCAGATGAGACCAAAATTTACCTTTTAGGCCTAAATGCAAAACTCTGTGTGGCAGAAAAATAACACTGCACATCACCCTGAACTCACCATCCCCACATGGTGGTGGCAGCATCATGTGGGGATGCTTTTCTTTAGCAGGGACAGGGAAGCTGGTCAGAGTTGATGGGAAGATTAGATACAATCTCTTAGATTGTAAGCTCCACTGAGCAGGGGCCTCCTAACCCTCTTGTATTGAACTGTACTGTTGCTGTATTGTCTCCCACTATATTGTAAAGCGCTGAGCAAACTGTTGGCACTATATAAATCCTGTATAATAAAAGATGGATGGAGCCAAATACAGGGTAATCTTAGAAGAAAACCTGTTAGTCTGCAAAAGACTTGAGACTGGGGTGGAGGTTCACCTTCCAGCAGGACAATGACCCTAAACATACAGCCAGAGCTACAATGGAATGGTTTAGATCAAAGCATATTCATGTGTTAAAATGGCCCAGTCAAAGTCCAGACCTAAATCCAATTGAGAATCTGTGGCAAGACTTGAAAATTCCTGTTCGCAGATGCTCTCTAGCCAATCTGACAGAGCTTGAGCTATTTTGCAAAGAAGAATGAGCAAAAATGTCACACTCTAGGTGTGAAAAACTGGTAGTCATACCCAAAAAGACTTGCAGCTGTAATTGCAGCGAAAGGTGGTTCTACAAAGTATTGACTCAAGTGGGCTGAATACAAATGCACACCACACTTTTTAAATATTGATTTGCAAAATGTTTTGAAAACCATTTTATCATTTTCCTTGCACTTCACAATTATGTGCCACTTTGTGTTGGTCTATCGCATAAAATCCCAATAAAAAACATTTGGTTGTAACATGAAAAATCTGAAAAATTTCAAGGGGTATGAATAATTTTTCAAGGTGCTGTAAATGCAAATTTATGCAAAAGGAAAAAATGAAACATCACATTGACATAAGTAATCAGATCCTTTGCAACAACACTTGAAATTTAGCTCAGGTGCCTCCCTTTTCTCTTGTTTGTTGTGGAGAGGTTTTTACACCTTGATTGTAGTCCACCTGTAGTAAATTAAATTGATTGGACATGATTTGGCACACCTTTCTCTATAAAAAAAAAACTTCACAGCTGACCATGTATACTGTTGAGAACAAAAGCCATAAGGTCAAAGGAACTGCCTGCAGAGCTCAGAAATAGTTATTGAAAGGCTACAAAAAAAATTCTGCTGCTCTAAAGGTTGCCAGGAGCACAGTGGCCTCCATAATTCTCAAATGGAAGAAGTTTGGCACAACCAGGACTCTTCAAAAAGCTGGTTGCCCTGCCAAACTGAGCATTTGGGGGAGAAGGGCCTTGGTAAGAGAGGTGACCAAGAACCCAATGGTCACCCTGACTGAGCTCCAGAGATCCTGTGTGGAGATGGGACAAAATTCCATAAGGACAACCATCACTGCACCCTTCCACTGATCTGGGCTTTATGGCAAAGTGGCTAGACAGAAGGCTCTCCTCAGTGCAAAACATATGAAAGACCTCTTGGAGTTTGCAGAAAAGCTTTCATTCAGCTGAAGCAATTTAAAATTGCATCATCTATGGCTTGCTTTGGACTAGCAGATATAGATGGACTTGACTAACAAAACGAAGCTTAACTCCAGCTAACATTTTATAGGCAGTTACAGCAAGAGGTTTTACATAAAGGAATAAAATCTGACCATTGTAAGTACCTCAGTGGTAAACGATTTGTCTCAGCCCTCTACCAGCTACTTTGTCTGGACAGCTTGGTCTGTTAAAGAACTTGAAAAATAACAGACTTACTGGTTTTATCACCAGGTGAAAATAAAAGAAAAAAGGCCTAAAAAAAGAAAACTAATATATCTGCTACATTTAAGGATTGATAAACTGGTTTGTATCTTTTTTTTTTTTTTTTCTTGAGTTGCATCTCAGCACCAAGAAACAGTACAGTTATCTTTCATACCAACAGGTTAAAGCAGAGTTCCAGTTGAATAAAAAAAAAAACAAAAGTCAGCAGCTACAAAAACTGTAGCTGCTGACTATTAAAATACAGACACTTACCTGTCTTTTGGTCCATCGGTGTCCTCACCATGGCTGGTTTCACTGGCCGTCTTCTCTCCTCGGCACTGAATTCCTTAGTCTGGGCACCTGGCTGTGACAGCTTGCGGTTTCACAGCCGTGTGCCCACTGCGCATGTGCAAGAAGTGCTGCACTTTGTGAATGGTCCCGTAGTCTTCTGGGACCTGTCACGTGTCCCAGAAGACTACGGGGAGGGAGGGGGAAGGACGATTTCTGTTTCCAGTCGCCTCAGGCAATTGCAGTGGAAGTGGGAGCGGGTACCTGTCAAATTTGGGTACCCGCTTCCCAAAGGTTCCAATCTTTAACAGGGAGCGGGGGACCAAGCATTAAAGCGGAACTTCTCCTTTTGGGTGCAGCTGCGCTTTAAGATATAATGCTGTATGGTGTAGAAGAGTCCTAGGTATATTGCAAAGTGTGAACCAAAAGAGAACGTATTCATAGTCACTGATTTGTCAAATGTTAAGTATATTTTGATAATTATTTTGTCACTTAGAGGTTGAAGCTTTTGGGTCTTGAGCACAGAACCCCAGGCCACTTTAGTATACTATCCACTATCTTCCTTTTTTTTTTTTTTTTTTTTTTTTGCTGCCAGAAGTATAACTGCCAGTTAAGCTGCATTACTGTTTGTTTTGTTTTTTTTTTCTATTTGTAGTCAAGTTCTGGATGACCTCTCCCTGGTTACCCGCTGGCTCTCTGTCCTCACAGCTTATGCAGACCCAGCTATTTCCTGTGAGAAATTGCGGCTAGCTGCAGCGGATGCACTTCAGTTGGCTGGAGTTGACCTGGTCAGACTAGCTCTCAAGTGTGGTACATTAGAGCTTGCACAGCTGGCAGTAAGTAAGGTAAGATGTTCTCATATTTGGGTATTATTCGTTTTCTTTATTCCTTACTCTTGGCTTTATTTTTCCATTAGAACCATGTTATGTGCAGTGAATTTGCTACAAGATGAGGACAGAGGTGTTCGAGAACTTACTACAAGGTTTGTTGTGACAACCTTGAATCGGCCTCCTGAGACGTCTTTCCACAGTGACTGGGCCATTGTGTGTCTCCTGGAACTTCTGAGGGACTTTTTCTGGAGCTATGAGGCGACCTTTAATGCTCTAATACATCAGCTGCCTTCATGTGATCTGCAGGCTGTGCTATCCTTCCTTCATGAAAGGTAATTGGCTTAGTATAGTACTTGCTTCAGGCAGTAAAGCGCATCTATGGTCAAAATTTAAAATTCAGGTCATTTGCACTGCTGTTAATCTGAACGATCTTGAAGTTTATAAATTTACCTAGTCCCCACATATTTACTACTTTGAATTTTGTGACACATATTCCATATGCCCTGTTGATAGGCACTGCTGTGTCACACATTTCACAGAGCCTGCCTTCTGAACTACAGAGATGCTGAGAGGAGGAGTTTCAGGAGGCAGAATCTCTGCTTGCAGGCAGCAAAGTACCATGGATATGTAGTCCTTAGAGATTGAAAGTAAACCGCATAGGAGAAGCTTCAAAGCATGTAGGGGATCCAGAATGTTGTGGGAAGAAGCGACCAGCAGACAGGCTGCACTAATATGAAAGGAGATTTTTCAAGTAAGCTAATATTGGTTTGCCAAATATACCTATTGTTTGTATTAGTATTACAGTGCTGATGTTATAGGATGCAGGTGTATGCTGTGACCATAGATCTCCTTTTAAGTATGTTACCAGTAATGGCAGTTTTTAAGCTCAGTTATGACATACTGCATCAAGTTTAGCAATATGCTTTTCATTTAACATTGTGAAAAATGATTGCTGTTTTTCTTGAACATGTATTTTGTCATGTGGCAAAAAGTATCAGGTTCTCTTCTTTGTCCACATCCTCGGCCATTAAAACTCATTTTGTTTGCTAGCTGCAGTACTGCTGAGTTGAAAGTCTTGTATAAAATATATGCTGGGAACTTATGAAGGGTTACACCACCCTACTTGACTATGTTCCAGCTTTAATTTCTTTGCAAAAATATCTGTGATGTGCTTCTCATGTTTTTACAGATCTGTTGCTCTATATGAGGAGGATGAACCCAATATGTTTGCAGATCCCAATTTCCTTTCCTCCCTCCTATATCCATTGCTTTGTGACTTGATGAGTGTCATGTCACGCACAGTTTCCTTGTGCTCGGTTTTGCTGCATTGGGTTCAGTCCACAACCACAATAGTAAAAGAGCAGCTAAAAGAATACCACAGTTGGACAAATCAGCAGGGTAAGTTTTATATAATAAAAAGTTTAAAGATAAAGCTGGCCACACACCAAAGACTACAGTTGGAAGTGTTTGGTTTAGTTAAGCTGAGGAACAGTCCTGGTTTTTATGTATCTTTTTATATGAGCAAGTCTGCAATTAGGCCCCTTTCACACAGGGCAGACTCTGTCCTGATCAGCAGGGGATTTGCTCACAGATCCCCTGCTGATCGGAGCAGAGCGGGTGGATGACACATCCGTGTCCACTCAGTTTCTGCAGAGCGGACAATGACCGAGCCCCCTCTGCTTTACAGGCGGCTGGGTGTAAAAAGATTCCGCTGTTTACACCTGACTACCCTCCGATCCGCCTAAACAAGAGGACAGATACCCTTCTGTTTTTTTTTGTTTTTTTTTTTCTTTTAGCAAACCGGATCAGACCCGGAAGTAGGCTGGTGTAAACGGACACCCCTGTCCAAGGGTTGAATGGACTCTCCTATCAGTTCTGCCTGAATAACTGACAGGCGGACCTGATCGAACCCGTCGTGTGAAAGCGGCCTTACCACTCACTTTGCAAGTTTTCGAGGTGGACATAAAGTATTGCAGTTACCCCAGTGGTTAGCTTTTCCTGAAAGAAACAGTATTATTTGGCTGGAAAAAAAACTAATCCTGGCTGTTTGATTCTTGTCCTGAGAATGTTTAAGGGTTTTCTGGTACTCCTAAATGTTAGAATTGTCATCTAAACCCACTAATATTGAAATTCCAAATTTTCCCTATATATTACACAATGGTAGAGAAAAAAGATAATTTGATTAACAAAATGTTTGTTCCTAACACTTGTTGCCGTTTCCAGGTTCCCTGCATATTCCATGGCTTGCAACTACTGGTTGTTCCCGGGTACATTGTGCTGTTTTAGGTTTGTTGGTTCGAGGAGAGCTTCTTCTCAGAGCTCATGAAATACTAACACAAGTTGGCACTCCGCTTACTCTAGGCTCCCTGAGGGAGGAGCTAGTTCAGCTAAAGGAGGAACTTGCTTTACATGGCTTAGGACATTCCAATATGAAGATGAAAATGGGACTTTTCTGGAGACATTGCTCTACTGCTACAGACTTGGGCAACTGAATATATGTTCAGTATATGTAAGCACGTTTTCCTTGATGTTAAAAGAACACAACCATGAATGTGTAATATATGGCATGATGATCTCTCCCAGTGAGTGACGTTCCTAACAATGTTATGCTAGCTCTAACTATTCACTTGCAATATAGTTAAAGTGTTCCTAAACCCAGAAATCTGCATTCACTATATCTGATCTCCCACTGTACACAGAACATGGAAGTGCAATTATTTTAGTAAATATAAAATGCTAAAGGCCTTTTCTCATCAGCAGTTAGAGCAGTCTTGTGACTTCTATCAGTATTCATCAGAGCATTGGTTTAAAGTTTATAGGAGTTTTCATAATACTCTGAGGATGGAGAATCCCTGACCTCTGTCTGGACAGTGCTGATCGGTCCTGTGCTGATCACATGCACCCTCCCAAAAAAAAAAAAACCCCTCTCTAGCAATACACACCAAACTGAGCACGTGCAGAGTAACTCCACACGATATGTCTTATCCGGATATAAGAGGGGGTCACTGTGAGTATAACAAGCATGCTTTACTGCATATACAGACTGATTTTACTTTTGTGGGTTTAGGAACACTTTAAGGTACCCATAAAATAGATGACAGTCCATCTTGGCTTACAGGGAAGAATATTTTATATAGTGGGAAAAAAACTTTCATGGAGTGACCTCATCAGTGTGCTACTTTAGATGATTGCTGTACACAGCAGTGTAGAAATGCGCTCTTGGGCCAGGCAACTGATTCATCTGTAGGCAATGGAGGCAATGCAGGTTTCAAGGATCTTTAGAAGTCAGAAATGCCTTTCAGTATGTCATAAATGTGGAATTTAAAATCATGATCAATCAGTCAGGAATCCCAACAAATATTCCTGTGTGTGTGAAACCTCATGTACTTTAATCAATTATATTTCAGCATGATCAAAACCTCTTGTGTAAGTTGGGGGCCTAAAGCCAGCCATTGCTCAATTTCCTCCATCAACACCGACCGTGTTGACGGGAAAATCCCTTCCGCTGATCTATTGTGTTCTTCTGGCTGGGAGAACACAGTGAATACAGCTAGCGGTTATAACAGCCACTAGCAATAATCGCATTTAACATCCAGCAGGCTGGTTGTTGATCTATCAACTTGGGTACATTCACTCTGCCCCATACAGTGAAGGAAATAAGTATTTGATCCCCTGCTGATGTTGAATGTTTGCCCACTCACAAAGAAATGATCAGTCTAAAAATCAAATGGTAGGTGTATTGTAACACTGAGAGAGAGAATAGCAACAAAATTCAAAAGAAATGTATATCTAACAAATTATGCACTGATTTGCATGTTCATGAGGCAAATAAGTATTTGATCCCCTATCATTCAGCAGGATTTCTGGCTACCAGGTGTCTTCCATACAGGTAACAAGCTGAGATTAGAAGCAGTCTCTTAAAGGGAGTGCTGCTAATCTCATTTTGTTACCTGTATAAAAGACACCTGTCCACAGGAGCAATCTGATTCCAAACTCTCCACCATGGTAAAGACCAAAGAGCTGTCCAAGGATGTCAGGGACAAGATTGTAGACCTACACAAGGCTGGGCTACCAAACTATCGCCAAGCAGCTTGGTTAGAAGATGACAACAGTTGGTGCAATCATTCGCAAATGGAAGAAACACAAAACAACTGTCAGTCTCCCTAGGTCTGGTGCACCATGCAAGATCTCACCTCGTGGAGTGTCAATGATCATGAGAACAGTGAGGAATCATCCCAGAATTACACGTGAGGATCTTGTTAATGATCTCCAGGCAGCTGGGACCACAGTCACCAAGAAAACAATTGGTAACACACTACGCCGACAAGGATTGAAATCCTGCAGTGCCCGCAAGGTCCCTCTGCTCAAGAAAGCACATGTCCAGGCCCATCTGAAGTTTGCCACTGAACATCTGAATGATGCAGAGGAGGACTGGTTGAAAGTGTTGTGGTCAGATGAGACCAAAATCGAGCTCTTTGGCATCAACGCAATTCGCCGTGTTTGGAGGAGGAGAGGAATACTGCCTATGACCCCAAGAACACCATCCCAACTGTCAAACGTGGTGGAAACATTCTGCTTTGGGGGTGTTTTTCTGCTAAGGAGACAGGACAACTGCTCCGCATCAAAGGGACGATGGACGGGGTATTGTACCATTGTGGATGGGTGTTCCATCATGACAATAACCCAAAACACACGGCAAATGCAACAAAGAGTGGCTCAAGAAGAAGCACATTAAGCTCCTGGAGTGGCCTAGCCAGTCTCCAGAGCTTAATCCGATTGAAAATCTGTGGAGAGAGCTGAAAGTTGAGTTGCCAGAAGGCAGCCACCAAACCTTAATGACTTGGAAAGGATCTGCCAAGAGGAGTGGGCCAAAATCGTTGCTGAGATGTGTGCAAACCTGGTGGCCTAACTACAGGAAACTTCTGACCTCTGTGATTGTCAACAAGAGATTTGCCACCAAGTACTAAGTCATGTTTTGTGAAGGGGATCAAGTACTTATTTCCCTCATGAACATGCAAATCGGTGCATAATTTGTTAGACATGCATTTCTTTTGAATTTTTTGTTGCTATTCTGTCTTTCAGTGTTACAATACACCTACTATTCGATTTTTAGACTGATCATTTCTTTGAGAGTGGGCAAATGATAAAAATCAGCGATGGATCAAATACTTATTTCCTTCACTGTACATGGTTAGAATCTCGGCTAGTCCCTGCTGAACCTGCCAAGATTTGAACCGTCTATGGCCAGCTTAACTGAAAGCAAATCTACAATTCTGGTGTCTGTTACCACAACTATATTTCATGTCATGGAACAAATTTAACAAAAGAATCATGAGTGTTCTTAACCGTATTTAACATGTTGCTACAAATAAAATATATATTTTTACTTTGTAATGAATGCAGTACTTTGATCTTAATTTTTACCATAAAATGATGTATCAGACGTGCGTCTCAATATTTCCTCTCAGTTTTGCTTTGAACACCTGAGAAACAGAGTTTTAAAGCTGAAATCCTGGGCTAAAAAAAGATTTTGGTTAAACAGGGACTTGTGTATTCTTACTAGACTCTTGGTGGTTTATTTACTAAAGCTGGAGAGTGCAAAATCAGGCTCACTTCTACATAGAAACCAATCAGCTTCTAACCTCAGTTTGTTCAATTAAAGTGTTCCTAAACCCGGGACCCTGCATTCACTATATCTGGTCTCCCACAGAACATGGAAGTACACTTATTTTAGTAAATATAAACTGCTAAATACCTTTTCTCATCAGTGGTTAGAGCAGTCTTGTGACTTCTGTCAGTGTCCAGCAGACACTGTAGGAGTAGGAGTTTTCATTCTGCTCTAGGTGGATGCAGAACCCCTGACCTCTGTCTGGACAGTGCTGATTTGGCCCTGTGCTCATCACATGCACACTCCCAAGAAAACAAAAAAAACTTCTAGCGATACGCACTAAACTGAGCATGTGCAGAGTGACTCCATGCATATGTCTTATCAGGCGATAAGAGGGGGACACTGGAAGCAGGGGAGGATCTGAGAAGTCAGGATCAAACAGCGTTTTTACACATTGCAGATGATTAACCCCTTAGGTTCCACAGTGAGTACAACAAGCATGCTTTACTGTATATACAGCGTGATTTTACTGCTGTGAGTTTAGTAACACTTTAAGCTTTGGCAAAAAAAAAACTTGAAGCTGATTAGTTTATATGCAGAAGTGAGCCTTATTTTGCACTCTAGCTTTAGTAAATAAACCCCATGGTGTCCTTTGTGTGTTTCTTCTAGCTCTGAGCCAAGATCCATGATGGAACTTTCCCCATAGTTTGCTGTGATGCATGAGTATTCTGCAATAGACTAGTCACTAGTGTGTTCTCTCTATTTGTGCATAGTGACTAACAATTGTATCTGTCCCACGTAGATTTCTGCAGGCAGCCTGTAGTGATCAGGCCTTCTGGGTGCTACCCACAGCTGTGCTCTCTGCACAACCTGTGTATGTGACCTTGTGATGTTCTCACCCCTACTTTTACATTCAAAATTTGGGTTAGGAAGAACATTTGGTCCACACAAATGTGGTTTATATACCTTGTAGCTATTAATAATATATTTAAATGAAATGTTTTGTGCCCAAAGGTCAGCTTTAGGACCTATAGGGCTGAGGAATGGGTGGGGTCAGCAGTCTCAAAAGCAATACATAAACGAAGTCAATAGGGAGTGATAAGTATGATTTTCACCATTTTTTAGTAGTGGAGCCTTTTATATCTTGTTGCAAACTTTCACATTGTTGGGAAGAATGTTTATGCCTATATACGTGCATCAAAACCTTTCGATTTTCTACTCCATATCTTACTGGGCACAGTAGTACTCCCTCAATCACAAAAGAGTTGGGCACATTTTAGAATCTCTTTATATTTCAGGGAAGCTTTACAGACTTGACATAAGGTACGTCATATTTAAGCGTTCTTTTGTGTAATTGACATTTTAAAGGTGTTTGGTTGCAAACACTCTAGTGATTCAGGCCTTTCCAAGTTAGTTGTTTTGCCTTCAGAAAAAAAACCCCTTTAGGTCTGGCAATTCCAGAAATATGCTGGGCAATTGGGAAGACTATGGCAACCATGTCTGTATCCACTGTATTGTAATGAGTGGGCTCAAAAAGTTGTAAAGTCTCATAGTCACAAGGAGTATAACTTGCAGCAACCATCAAGGCTGGACACAACCAAATTACTAATAGGTGTGCATAAATTTGTTCTTGTGTGGCGGAAAAAACACAAGAATAATCAGTCTACCATGTTTTGTGATGTCACGTGTACCAGTAGAGACCAGGAAGGTGTCTGCTTCTATAGAGAGAAAAAAAAACTGTATTTTTGAATTTCTATTTTAAATGCTGTTTTATATTTTGTTTCTTATGACATTTCTTAAAGTTTTAATAAAAGAGGACCAATATAAATGTTGAAATACATAAACAATAAATAAAACAAATATATGGTTAGCAATAAAACTAAC